CATTTTGCAAGCATATGACGAATCCAAGGGGCTGTGAGGCTTCTACTGGAGAAACAACGGCAAGGGAAAAGAGCAAGCTCAAATTCTGAGCCAGATAATACTCGCAGAACCCGTCACTGCATGTTTCGGCTAATTAATGTGATCTTCTCAGAAGAACTTTTCCAGCGTTTTATTTCGTCAAAAGACTAATTAACGCGAAAAGAGTTGGACGAGGGTGGTAATCGCTTTTAGCAAGACATCGCAGCTTCGTTTAACTCAGTTTGTGATACGTACGAAAGTCTCGTGTCGGATCTGCCGCTTTTTCACGGTATTTGCTCGGATTAAATTGCAGTCTACTCTTCTACAAAGCTCCAAGCTATGTGGAAGGATATACATTGTGCTTTCTCAAAAGCAGAAGCTCGAAACAAAGTTTCCGGAACTCATTCAAAATTTTGGAACTATTGGAGATAAATCGGTCATGTATCTGCATCTGTGGTGTGAAATTCGCGGAGCAGGGCGTGAATTTTATTCTGGGCGCGTGCACGCAGCAAATGAAGACGATTCTACAAAGGAGGGAGTCAGCTATGCGGCCCGTTAGACCAACAAAATAGCCAAACAAGCGAAGACTCGGTCAGTCGATTAACACAGGTCGTGACCAAACTAATCGAGACTGAACCAAACACAAAAAAGTAATTTGGTAGCGGACCAGACTGCCCTTGCTCGAGTCCACCGCGAGCGTATTGAGCGCGAACAAAAAGCAGATGAGCTGGCTGCTATTGATGCAATTCTAGCTCGCCATCACAGAACCCTTTCTCAAGTTGAGGAGCTCATTCATGATCGCAGCGTTTGAGGTATTCCGTTTGAACCACTTATGGAGGAGAAGGACCGCTTACGAGACCGCATTTCTACTGTTCAAGAGCTGGTAGACAAACTAGAAACTGATATTATCGATAGCTGAGGGACTATTGTGATACCATGGTACGACCGACAAGATTTGACTACTTAGCTTAAAATAAAAAAAAAAACAATAAGATCGAGTAACATGTATTTCTCCTTTAATAATCTTGTAGAAAGCAATACCAGTTAGTATTTAACTTTAAATGGCAGATCAGTATCGTTCCTAACAAACAATACAGTGCGTTGAGTATGTTTAGTAAAATCTGGATTCATCTATGGTCGAGACATATTGTAGTCGTGTACGTGATCCATCATGACATGGCGCATAAGATTACCGTTCTTGATCTTTATATCCTGTTCAGCTTGCGGTGGCGTGGCTTAATAACTACAGCTTTCTAGAGCGTTGTATTCTTGTAGTGCAACTAAACTACTAGGCTTGTGAGGTGTCGAGTGTTTGAGGTCGTCTATGCAACAGTTTGTGCAGCTTCATACATGTTTTGATTACAAGCCCCGTATGTATGTAGTCAACTTTGAGATACTGCTGGAAGACACGCCACTTATTTACAAGCAGACCGAACGCCATTTCGATCCTAATTCGCAGCTAGGATACGTAAAATTGTAGGCTGTGTGAGCAGGATTCTTAATTTCTGGCTTCGTGAATGGTGTCAACATGATGGGGGATAATATGTACGCGTTATCTCCAATTACATAATATCCATAGGGAAGATTAGCAATATTCTCACTCAACTTCCACTTGCGGAATGCAACACTGTCGAAAACTTTACCCGGTAAATTGAAGCAATAACCAATAAAGCGACATGAAGCGTCACAGAGTGCCTGAGCGTTGATACCATAA